ATTAGTCCTAGATTACTTTCTCTCCTTTTAAAGAATTTTTGTTAAAAACAAATTATGTAATCAGAAGAGTATTTAAATGTAACATTATTATTGTACTATAATATCTTCCATGCCTGATTAGTTCCTTAGATCTTTAGACATTCAATAAATGGTACTGGGGTTATAGTAGTATAGAAGGTAGAATATAAAACAGGGAGAATGGATATGGAACGTAGTTAATTATCTAGGTTTGGTTTTTTGTTTTGTTTTAAGAATCCTGTTGTGACCGGGCATGGTGGTTCGTGCCTGCAATCCCAGCACTTTGGGAGGTCAAGGCAGGAGAATGTTTGAGGCCATAAATTTGAGACCAGCCTGGGCAACATAGCAGTGACATCCTTTCTGTACAAAAAAATTTTAAAAAGAGGAAAAAAGAAACCTGTTCTATGAAAACCTACTGCTGGTGAATTAACATCCTTGGAAAATCTTCCCTGCCTGAGGCTGCTCCAGAATGTTGGGTAAAGAGCAACTTTTGGGATACAGGTAGCTCAGTGACCACAGCTCCTAGGACCCAGGTCTACAGGGCGGAGGATGTGAGAGAGGAACCTCCATGAAAAGGCTGGGTTATAGGTCAGGGAGCTAGAGGAGTTTATTCTTTTTCACCAGAGTTTTCCTTTTCTTTTTTTCTTTTCCTTTTCTTTTTTTTTTAATACGCTCTGTTACCCAGTTTGGAGCGCAGTGGCCTGATCATAGCTCGCTGCAGCCTTGAACTCCCGGGCTCAAGCAGTCCTCCCTCCTCAGCCTCCAGAGTAGAGACAGGGTCCAGCTGTGTTGCCCAAGCAGGTCTCAAACTCCTGGCCTCAGCCTGGCTGAAATTCTTCAGTTTCTGAAGCACCTTCAGACTAACAAGGAAACTGAAACACCTTTGGGATTGACAACAGAGCAAGTCTAACTTTAGTTTCCAATGTTATAAATGATTTGTATGGAGCTAAGATTTTTTTTTTTTTTAATATGAGCCCTTAAAGGCAGTCCTCAAATTAATGGAGATACTGAGCACAAGGATTTGACCCCAGGCTTATGGAAATACATTTTTTACTTTCTTAGCTGCTGTTGGTTTTATTACAATTTATTTGCTGTTTTATTCATACAAGTGCTTCTATTGCTATATGAAGCCCAGAATTTGAGGCCTGTCATTTGTATGGCAAGTAGAATCAGTGACTTTTTGATAGCTTTACATGAAATTAAATGTAATATTAGAAAAGCAGTTTTATTCTTATATAAAATTAAGTATCAGTGGATTTTACTTCTCTTTTTTCTTCAGCCTAATGTTTGATCATCGGCCACGATCCTGGCGAGAGTTGCCTCTGCGGATAGCTGACTTTGGGGTACTTCATAGGAACGAGCTGTCGGGAGCACTCACAGGACTCACCCGGGTACGAAGATTCCAGCAGGATGATGCACACATATTCTGTGCTATGGAGCAGGTATGAGACCCCATGGAATAAAATACTTTGAAAGAAGTGTCAAGAAAGTCAAAGAAAATAACCACTGTTTCTTTTTTTTTTAATTTAAAGATTGAGGATGAAATAAAAGGTTGTTTGGATTTTCTACGTACTGTATATAGCGTATTTGGATTTTCTTTTAAACTGAACCTCTCTACTCGCCCAGAAAAATTCCTTGGAGATATTGAAGTGTGGAATCAAGCTGAGAAAGTAAGTGGTATTTTTCAGCATTCTTCGAATGCTGTTTGACTGAAATTGGCTTATTGTGAGATGTAAGAAAGCCAAACCTCTTTAAATGGATAAAATGAGAAGAAAATTGGAAATGGTTCCTAGGCTTGAGTAAGCTAGTTTTTTCCTGTGTGATTTTGTATTTTAGAAATGATTGAATGCTTTAATGTTTTTTTTTCAGGTTCTGAGCTTTAAAAGGGATTTGTGGGAGTGTTTAGGTGGACAAAGTTATAAAGCAAAGAATAGTGATCCATGAAAGTAATTATGGTATTTTTAGTTTGAAATTAGACTGGAAGAAGGGAAGTTACAGATACACAGAAGTAAATTACTTTTGCTTTATCCTTAGCAACTTGAAAACAGTCTGAATGAATTTGGTGAAAAGTGGGAATTAAACCCTGGAGATGGAGCTTTCTATGGTCCAAAGGTCAGTACCAAAGTATATTTGGGTAATGTGATTTTCATTTGTGGATGGAGAAGAGATTACTTTAAAATAAGTTGAAAAAAGAAAAAAGGAAAATCAGCCCTAATCTAACTAATGAGCTGAGATTTAATACCAACAGCATCTCATAGTAACCCAGTCTTTGCTTCTTAGATTGACATACAGATTAAAGACGCAATTGGTCGGTACCACCAGTGTGCAACAATCCAACTGGATTTTCAGCTGCCCATCAGATTTAATCTTACTTTTGTAAGGTGAGTTTCTGGTGTCTGCTCTAAATATTCTTCTCCAGGGACATATAAGGGAAGATATATATAATAAGGCAAAATACTTTTTTTTCCTTTATAGCCATGATGGTGATGATAAGAAAAGGCCAGTGATTGTTCATCGAGCCATCTTGGGGTCAGTGGAAAGAATGATTGCTATCCTCACTGAAAACTATGGGGGCAAATGGTAATTTTTGTCATTGTTTTTGTCAGATGCGTATAAATTAGCTAGAAGAAATGTCTACTTTCCAATTTAGTTATGAGATGGAAAGGGAGAATGATTTCCATTGGTCACTTCTAATTAATGACAAGTGTTCACTAAAAAGTAAGGAATTACAATCTAAACTCAAATTCTTTAACATCAAGAATATTTGTTCCTAGCACTTTGGGAGGCCGAGGCGGGCAGATCGTTTGAGTTCAGGAGTTCAAGA